CACGCGCGAGCGGTACAGGTTGAGCGAGGCCCGCAGGCTCAGTGCCGTCGTCGGCTCGAACAGGCTGGGGAACAGCTCCGACGCGCGGCCCTTCACCTCCAGCTCGAGCCCTTCGGTGGTCGCCTTGCTCAGGTTGATCGGCTTGGCCACCCAGCGCGGCACGGTCGACCAGCTGACGTTCTGCTCCAGCACCAGCGAGTTGCGCACGAGGCCGGTGATGCGACGGTGGAACACGCCCACCGACACCAGGCCGCCTGCGGGCAGGTAGTTCTCCCAGGCCACGTCCAGGCCGGTGGCGAGCTTCGGGCTTCAGGTCGGGGTTGCCGATGCGGTCGGGCGCGGACTGGGTGTTCTCGCGCGCATTCGGGCCGATGGCCGGGTAGTCGGTGTTGATGCTCGGGCGGGCGATCAGCTGCTGCACGTCGGCGGCCTTGTAGCTGCGCGTCAGGCTGGCGCGCATCCAGGTCGCGGGCCCTTGGGGTCGGGCTTGAAGTTCAGGTGCAGCAGCGGCGTCGTGACCTTGCTCGGTGCTGTTGAACTCATTGCCCACGCCGGTGCTGACCGTCTTGATCTGCTCGTGGCGCACGCCGAAGTAGGCCGACCACTGCTTGTTGATCTCCCACTCGTCCTGGCCGTAGAAGGCGGTGCGGGTGATGGTGGCGTCGAAGGGCTGGCCCTCGATGCCGGGCAGCAGGTCGGCGCCGTTCTCCACGGTGCGGCGCGTCTCGTCACGCGTGCGGCGCTCGATCTCGCCACCGCCGGTCAGCGTGTGCGCTTCACCGGCGTACTGGCTGTACTTGCCCGACAGCGTGGCGTTGCGGTTGCGGTTCTCGCCGCTGGTCGTGCGGCTGACCGTCTGCGTGCCGGCCTTGTCGCGCCCGAGGAAGTCGAAGTTGAAGTCCGCGCCGCCACTGCCGGCCCCGGCGCGCAGCTCCACGCGCTTGTCCTCGTCGAAGCGGTTGTTGTATTGCAGGTTCACGCGCTGCGCCTGGAAGGTGCCGCGGTTGCGCGTCTCGTCGCGCAGGCTCGGCGGCAGCACGCTGCTGGGCGTGGAGGCGAGGATCTCGGTGTCGTTGTGACCTTCGTTGTAGAAGCGGTTCGTGATGAAGAAGGTCTGCAGCGTCAGCGTTTCGTCGTCGCCGAGCTTCCAATTCAGGCGGGGCGACACGTTCACGCCGCGGCCGTGCGAGCGGTCGGCGCCCGAGCTGCTCAGTCGCGTGGCGCCGCTGTCGCGCAGGCGCTCGCCGTCGGTCTGGGTGCGGTTGTCCCACTGGAAGACGTTGATCGGCAGCACGAAGCCCAGGCCGCCGACCGTGCGGTTGCCGTAGGTGAAGCCGCCGTTCACGACCGGGTTCTCGTTCGCATACGCGACGCCGATGCGCAGGTCCTTCTGCACGATGCGCGGCGCGTCCTTCAGGATGATGTTCAGCGTGCCGGCGATGGCCTGGGCGCTCTGGTCGGCCGTCGGGGGCCTTGCGTCACTTCCAGCCGCTCGACCTGGGCGGGGTTCAGGTTGTCGAGGCTGAATCCCGGGGGCGCCGGCTCGCCGTTGACGAGGATCTGCGTGTACGCGCCGCCCAGGCCGCGCATGCGCAGCTGGCCGCCGGAGACGTTGATGCCGGGCAGGCGCTTGAGCACGTCGCTGAGCTGCGTGTCGCCGTACTTTGTCGAGCTCGTCGCGGCCGTAGAGCTGCTTGGCCACCGGGCTCGCGGCGGCGCAGGTCGGTGTCGGTCTGCTGGCGGGTGACGGACACGCGCTCGAGCTGCTGGTTGTTCGGCGTCGGCGCCGAGGTCTGGGCGCGGTCGACCTCCTGCTGGGCCAGCACGAGGGCGGGGCAGAGGAGAAGCAGTGAGGCGAGGGCGGGGGTTTTCAAGCAGGTCTCCGAAGGTTCGAGGCGGCGCGCACGGTAGCGGCAGCGTTGTCGGCGCGCAGCTGGGCTGCGACCGTTGGCAAGTTCCGGGGTGTCAATCGACGCCCCGGGGACCCGGGACGTCAGTGGGGCGCGATGTTGGCAAAGATTTGTTGCAATGACGAAGGTCAGCCCCGGAAGCCCTTCACGGTGTCAGCGCTTGAGCTTGGCGAAGGCCGCCGCCATCGCGCCGCCAGCCGGCGCTTGCGATTCCCGC